ATTGTCCAAGATTAACCTTCAGGGTGGATATAGCTCGCTAGCAGCCTCGCACCAAGGACCTATCCATGTCATCATTTACCCTGAATGCTTTTATAAAAGGGCTCCATCCGTGTTAAAATAAAAAAAATTTAAATTACAAAACTAAACAGTCTACAGTATTTTCATAGTCTTTATTTTACAGTTAAAATAAATGTTTTTCAAATAAAGTCTAATGTTACAACTAATCGTGGACCCCTTTAATATACATAGGTCAGAAATCTGTTTGCTACCACAAGTTATGAATTATAACCACAAGATTTCTTGAAAATCCTKAAAATGGGTTGAAGATTTCAAAGTAAATGATTTTAAGATGTGATCATTGGATACAAGAACTTTAGTTATTAAATACAACAAGATACAATGAAATCATATCATGTTGTCACTGAAGAGCTGTCAKACAACACCTTGTGCATAACGATGACTGAGATTTGAAAATGTGTATAATCTGCTGACTATAAAATKTTACCTCAGATTAAAATGTTGGTCAGGTTTTATACATTTAGCTTTATTTATTACTGTCAATCAAAATAACTGTCCTAGAATCAATCAGAGGAAACTAATTGATTGTCTCCTGATTAAGATAATCTGATCCTTTTTTGTCCAGCTTGGTAAAAATGATCTTGTTGGTTGGATAAAAGTATGTTTTGAAGCTTTACATTCAGGCAGTGTGCCAGAGGTGCATGTTTATATATTTTTTCTCATTTCAAAACAAATCTTTTTTTTTCTAATTTTTCTACAGGAATGATGGCCCAGGAACCACAAGACAATACAAGAGGAGACAATGTTGTAAAGAAAACTGAAGCTTCTGGTAAGATACTAAGAAGCACATTCTTCAGACGAAGTGTTCAAACAAGTCATCTTTTATTGAAGCAAAAAATACAACAAAGTTTGTATATCTGTGTGTGTTCTAAACTGTGTTTTTAATTATTCTTCTTAGCTAGAAGATGCTAGCATTTCTCTTTGAGTAGTGCCCAGTTCAAGAGTTTCAACTGCAGTATAATATATCCATGTATGAAGGGTCTGTCCTCAGACATGCATGGAGGGTACTTTCTGATCCCGTTCACATCCTCAACAAACTGTTACCATCTGGAAAACGGTTCCAAATCTCTGCTTGTAGACTCAACAGATATACATCGGTCAGAATGATAAATATGGTGGTCTGTCATGCTGCTGATGCTCTGATTTGTTAGTTTGTTTACTTGTTTGGARTAGATGCAGGAATGTGCGATATGTGGTTTTATTGAGCAATATGWGTATTTTTATTTTATTCTTAGTGTTTTAGTTGTTAGTGTAGTTATTATTTATGYGTTTTTATTGTTTGTAGTGTTCAAAATTGTGGTTGCAGATTTGTTTAGGACACAAWGTCCAAGACAAATTTCTTCTATGGAGGACAATAGAGTATACATCTATCCATCCATGTATACTGTATATAATATCCCGACTTTATTCTCCTTTATTCTCCATCATAYAAATGGGACATTTTCCTGACTAAGAAATAAACATTAGATTATTTTTTTTCCAAGTGTTGCTCTGTCCATTTTTATTTACCTTATGCAGATGGTCATGACCATCAACACGGTACTCACATTTTAAGAAACAGTCCCTCGTTACCCATCCACACCTCTGAAAACGTATGCACTCAAAAACGTTTGTGTTGGATTTACTCAAACAAATTATGTCAACAGTCTACTCAACTGAACTAAGTAAATATGACACATTTACTTCACGTTCACCTATAAATATACATAAAAATATGCTATTTACTCAATTCAGTTGAGCAGAGCCTGTTGACATATTCTGTTAAAAGCATGTAAAAAATAAAAGTAAATCCAACGCAAATGTTTTTTAAGTGTGTAGAAGCCAGATAGTTGATTCTGTGTACATGATTTAGTATATACTGTACAGTATATCACACACATATGGATGTAGAAAAATATTAATACTGAAACGAATATAAATTTTCAGCTTTTGCTTATGTAACCATTAAATGCTGCTTTTTCAGTGACTACAAATCAAAATGGTCAAAACATAGTTTATCCTACTCTGGTGCCCGAAGGTGCCGTTGTTTCAACAACAGCAGCGATGGAGACAAAATCATCTCTGGAGCCCAAACCTTCCGGTGTACCAATGTCCACGACTACAGTTCCTGCTGGAACAGACGATCAGSGGACTAAGAACACACAGGCAACCGATGTAAAATCAGAGACCCCAGCACCCGAACCTCCCAGAGGTGACAACTCCAACAACAAACCAAAGGTAYGACAAAACCATGGATTAAAATGATTTTGTGTGCTTTTCATGCAACACTTTTGAGCCCTGCAGGCCTGCGTTTGCTCGATTAGTAACAACTTCTTAAAAAAAGTTCCTTTTTGTAATTCAAACAAGCTGACGTCGATCAGAGGGTTGATGTTTTGAAGGGCTATATGTGCATACTAAAGAGATTTTAGCATAAAGGTGTCTTAGCATTAAATACCTTTAATTTTTTTATTTATGGTGCAAACAATGTGTAAAAAGGACTTCTTACTAAAAAAAATGTGAAAGGCAGTATTATGCAGGCTGGAGTACCAGTCGTGCCATATTAGACGGCAAAAAGGAAATATCGCAAATAAATCAAAAACTTCCATTATGCAAAGAGTAGGGTTGGGCAATATTGGCAAATAAATTAATCACGATTAATTGTGGTATTTAGCCGATAACGATTAATTTGAYGATTAATCCCCCGGAGTCCCTGGACACCCTTTTGTCCTAGTCACATGACCAATTTATAGGGAGAAAAGTGGCTCTTCGTAAAAACCTGTTCCAAATTGTGTCAAAATTGCAGACTTCAGGCTATACATCAATCTTTAAATTGTGCTGATAGATAAATAAATTACACAACTTTTTTAAATGTTTGTTATATTTGAACCAGAGAGGAGCACCAAGCGGTTAGTCTGCCGGGTGGCATTAATCGTATTAATCGTCAAGTGCCAAAAATTAATCGATTAATGTTTTTCTGACGTTWAATTGCACACGATACGATTATGCCCAACCCTAGCAAACAGTCATTTAAGAAACATCGTTTACATAAAAATCTAATTGGCTACATTTTCTTTATACGTAAACCTTAAAGAAATTATAACTGCATTCATTTCTAAAACAATTTGAGCACCACTCATGTTGTTAATCCCATAACTTCCTTATGGTTTGCACTGTTTTCCTAGTTATTTCTAAAGAACACAACTTTGAAAACTTCTAATGAAATCAGTCTTAAATGAGGCAGACTCAATCTCTATTTTTTAAATAATACATACCAGTTCTGCTACAGTTGACTACAGCTCATTATAACATACTGGAAGGCAGTATCTKACTTCCTGACTGGGTGCAAAACTCCTAAAACCCAATATGGAGCAGACATGAGTTTTTATTTTTTTAAATAAATTACTTATCAAATATGCAGGATTGATGGGGTTACAGTTGCAGAGGTCTGAATTCAACAGGCTTCATCTGGTAAATATTTACAAGCTTCCATAGACAAATCTCACCAGAAACATCAATACTACCAGTCGATACGAGCCGGAGAGAAGTGYGCATTCAACTGGTCAGCTGTGGTTAGATGGAAAAGTTCAGGCTGGTGAAGAAATATAAAACTCAACGCCTAATATTGGTGACTAAAGTTAAAAAATAAATATATTTGTTTAGAGGTTAAAAAACAATCATTATAAAAATAACCTTAAAATAGATCCAAACTCCTACTGCGTTGTGAAGAATCCAGAAATCTGACTACATCTGACAGACTTGGGAAAAAAGTTCCTCTGGAAAACAATGTTTTTTTTCTTGTCTCATCTTAAATAGACAATACTTCTGTTCAGCTGGGCTGATGGCACACAGCAATCATTGGCCTAAAGGAGAGGAGGAGATGCGATGAGATAATAAAGACACTCTGGTTTCTCTCTGCAGCCAAAGCCTGGGCAAAAAGTTACCTGCGTGAGGAAGGAGGAAGTGGAGGGAAAACATTCTGTCCAGCTGAAACTCAAGGTTCCCTCCAACTGTGTAAGCCTTACACACCATCTGCTTTTATGTGACATAAAATAATGTTTTAAGGGCAGAACAGAAAGAAAGGGGTCGCTTTAAACCATACTTGAACATCTTTCTTTCCTTGCACAAAACAATCTTGTGCTGCAGAATAGCCCGACGTCAATCTTATAAACTCAAAATAAGCAGATTTCTTTTTCTTATTTTAGAAGCAGCAAATTTGATAAACCATAACGAACCAGTGAGCTCGTGTCYGCCTGCAGTCCGAGGGATTGTTGCTGTACATATAGTAAACACAAGGGAATGGACTGCAGTGCGAGGCGGAGGGAGGGCAACGCGTTGGGTGGGCTCGTTGCTCCTGCAGAATGTATAATGTGTGGCAGCCTGAGGCAGCATTGTGGGCGTGTGTGTGTGTGAGGGTATGTTTGTGTTTAGAAAAATGYATTTTTCAGTATCTCAGGATGACAGCTTTGAGCTCTGCCGCTTTTATGTGTTAGGTCTGAATCCACTACATATGCTTTCTGTTAGCAGCGGCGCTCGTACAGCCTGAGAAGTAAATGTATTATTTAACATTTAAACAATGGATGACAACAGTCCAACAGGGGCTTCCTGTCATCAAAGACATGAACATAATTTCATCGGGGCTAAAACATTTCTAAAGTTAAGTTTATTAAACGTAGCCAATACAAAGAATGTTAATTTAGGTTTAGAGCTGATAAAAATGAGATGTAACCTGAACCTTAGTTTAAATCAGGGAGGCAGCAGCCAGCGGGGGATGACCGATATATACCGGACTGTCTGTGGGCCTTGACTTATGTGTCATGTGAAGAGTGGATTATTTTAGTATTGGCATGCAGAATTCCTCGTCTATATTACTGTATGCTACAGATGGATGTCGGCCAGGGGCTTAAATCTGTTGCAAGATTAATGTCCTTATGCAAGGGCTCTGAAAAACAGATAAAGCTAAAGTAAACTCAAAAAACATATGTGTTGGATTTACCTAACCATGTTATGTCAACAATATCTCCTTAACTGAGTTGAGTGGAAATTGTTGACATAACTTGATTTAGTAAATCTAACAATGTGTTTTTTGAGTGTAATTCTTATTTAACGTATATCTTTTTTTAGTGATTATTATTTTAAGGAAAAAATTGAAAAAAACAAGAAAAAAGAAAAGGGTTGCAACAATAYGTGTATTTGTACCTAACCATTCAATACGGTGCTTTAGATTCAATAGAGAAGGGGTTCTCTGCAGACTCAAAGTAGGTGTTTCTCAAGCGTAACCACTAGCTGCGTTTCCATTGCAAATGTGCGCAAAACTTTGTCGATATTCTGTTTATGTCGAGACAGTTTCGAAATTGCGGTGTTTCCATTAAGTAAGAAGTGCTATTAAAATCATGCGTGAATATGTTCTCACATATTATATTATATTCTCAGTCATTATAAACATGGCGGCAATGGATGTAAACACATTGCATATTGCTACCACAACACTAGCGCTCATCATCAGCCTTCAGAGGAGACGTTGGCGTCTTATCGAGGCTTTTGAGTGACAAGCCCCTTATACTTGGGAGTGGCTACGTAAGCTGCGTTTTTGGGAAAATGACTTTAATACTTTCTTTTACTATTTCTGTGATTTCTCTACTACTTTTACTTCATGTTATCTTCTTCTTCATCATCTTTTCGCCAGTAGAAACAGCCAGTTCTTGATCACGTGACTCTCATGACGCGAAAAAAGTGTTTCCATTGCAGTTTTGCGAAATTCATCAATTTCGATACGGCCGAAAAACCACCTCATCCTAGCGCAAAAACATTTTGTCGAAAAACATCATTTTTTTTAATTGACGTGTTTCCATTGAGCAAATTTATTTTCGAAATTCTAATTTGCGCATTTTCATGGTCAATGGAAACACAGCTACACATTGGCTAGTTGTATTTGCTCTGTTTTTCGAAAAGGTTGATTTTCTCTAGAATTTTTTTTCACTTTTGACTTTAACTACTTTCACATTAAGTTTAGCCGCCAAAATAGATTTGTTTTAATGAAATTGCAATGTATCATTAAAACAAACATTTAGTTCTCCTTATTTCTAAATATCTAAAATAAAAAAATTAAAAATCCACTACCAACTGATGTTGCTATCTTATTTTGAAATGTAACCGGGAGTTTTTTGTTAAAAGAAGTAGAAATAATGAATGAAAACGACATTGGCAGCRTCTTCATATAAGCGTATAAAAATGGCCGGTTAACATAATCTGCCRGTCTTAATTATTCCCAAGTCTTCTGATGACCTCTGTAACAACAGCAAATTCATGAAAATAAATAAATAAATGAAAGCCMGATGCTAAAAAATAGATGTATTAGTTACAAAAGAAACACCTAAGCAACAATTATCCAATCAGGTGTGGCCCTTGAGTAACACCTTCCTTTGGAAAYGCCTACTTTGTCTACAGAYGTACCTACTTGGTTCAATACACACTACGTATCAAAMAATTCAGATTTTTAAAACTAATTTTATCAGCTTGTCTTCTGAAGACGCTCTGTGTTGAAGGCTCAATGGATCTGCGCTCRAYTACTCCACCTAGGCTGCTTTATCGAGCACAGATCCACTGAGAAACTTGCTGTAAAACTGTACTTTAGAGGTTAAACAAATGTTAACAATTAATTTCAATAAATTACAAGTTAAGAAGGGTATGGAAATTTCTTTTTTGTATTGAAAAAATACTGAACTGTGAAATTAAAATATCGAACYGAATCAGCAATTTTCTGTATTGTTGCACCCCTAGTAAAAATGTAAAAAGGTACAATAAGCTTAGGTTTAGACTTAGACTTTATGTGATTAATTGAATTGGGTCATTTAATTTTGGAAAAAGAACGTCTGTGGGGAAAAAGTCCTAGTAATGTCAAAATGAATAACAAATAAATTAGAATAATGTTATTGCCCTTGGTTACTGAAAGATCAATATATCTGAGTAACAGTTATGTTTTATTGTGATCTTTGCAGTCCCAAACTCTGACATCGATTTTAAGTGTTCTACCAGAGCTGTGCGCTGACGACTGTCAACTGGAGCTCTATCAGGAAGAYGACACGAAGGAAGTCCTCGTGTCTGGGAAATATGTTGAAGGTCAGTTATAGTCTGTGGCTGAACAACAATAATCATCACAGAGCAGCAAACTTCTGATAGTTGTAAGATTTCATTTGTAMCATTTTTTTCTTTATTTGCAGGTGACCTTATAGGCATGACGAACAAGTTAAACAATGACAACATAAAAGACAAAGTAAGTGATCCTGACATGTTTTATAGTTTTGTTTATCTTATTTCCATTGAGTGTTTTTTATTCCTTCAAATATGAACCGAGTTGAGTCAGAAGTACGTGACTGTGATTCTACAAATGCCTTTCTGTGGACACGACCAAGTGACAGTCAAAGAAATTCCAACTCTAACCAACACAGTAAATTATACCGTTTACCATGAAGGGCTTGGAAGGGGTGACTTCCAAAAGCTGCAGTGACTCAGCTAAACTGTGGTTGACTCGTAAGGAAACTTGAAATACACAAGGGTGGAAGAATACAACCCCCACCCTCCCTCTGAAGACTGCCTCAAAGACGTTGAGCTGCCAGAGCTGGTGTCAAAACAACAAACAGCCCACAAACAATCTTGTCAGCAGCAAAACTATTTYTTTCCAAACACCTGGGGACCAACGCTGGGTTAAGGGTGTGACCATCAAAGCCATCTGTCTCTTTGCTGTCAACGAAAACTCATTTTCCCTCATTACCTCATCGAATTACCTTATCAGTAATTTACCAAATTCTGGACACATAACCATGCAATTAGCCTTGCTACAATTTATTCTTTTGGCATGTTTTTTGTTTGTTTGTTTAGACACCACCAAGGAATTCAGGACTATACGTGTTGTGTAGAGAATCATTCAAGAGGCTCAGATTTGCTAGATTTGCTTGAGATTTACGTAGAAAAGCTCCTCATTTGCTATCARTCAATGGGACAAAAAGGAATATACTCAAAACTCTGTGGTTGAATTTGATGTGAATACCACTTCATAACTATAGTCGCATTTATTTGCCAGATTAATGTTGAGGAGGCCAATCCTCGCTGGGGGAAGAACTCCAAGTTGGTGCTGGTGTCTCTACTGCTGGCTGGTCTGTTGCTGGCTGCACTGCTGGTGGCCGGTTATTACCTCAAAACACATCGCAAGAACTCCAAAGGTGTCAGACTGGTGAGTAGATCAGAGGTTTTACGTGTTTACATGCTCATCAGAAGCCAACCATCACTAAATCAGACACTGGATGAAATCAAGCAAACAAAAATGATATTCGAGTTCAATGGAACGGTTTGCAAGCTGCAATAAACTCAAAGCACATTTTGTCCTTTAATCCATTTCTCCTTCAACCCACTGCTGCCGGGCTACAAATGGTTTCAGTTTGTTCTCCAACCATATTTAACATCATCTTTTAAAACCATTTACATATGGCGGCACACCCTTGTGGTACTTTTCGCTTAGCAACACGCTTGCGTAATCAAAAACATTCCCAACATCCCTCTGAGAAGCACACACGGCTGAAGCCCATAAACCTCAACGAGAAATGCGTCGTCCATTTTCACTATCACGCTTTCCTGAAAACTCCCCCCAAAAAAGAGCTTTGTTCTAAAATTCTGGTCTTTCTTTAGGCGGACTCTTTCCAGGTGGATGAAGAGAACCAGACCAACACCCTGGTATCCGTGGCCCCTCTGCCCCAGGAGCCTGTCGACAAGCCCACCATCAACGGAGAGTCTCCGCCTGAGAATGGGACAAACCCCAGTCCCACCACCAACGGACACTCGGCCAACCAAACCCAAGTCGCTGACACGGAGATGTAAATCCCAACGACTGGCCCGCCAACTCCTGATAAATCTGAGACAAATTCACCACGAATCTCTCAAAAACACTCATATGTCCACCGGTTCTTCTCCACGCAACTCTTTGGACTGACGATGCCAACAATGACAATGCGATGACGCTGATAATGGTGCCTGTAATGTGAAAAAGATTAAATGGAAATCCTCTCCTTTGCTGGTGTCAGCAGGAGCCTGCTAACACTAACTGGGATTTAAAAGTTGTTCTGACTTCTGCCTTATTGTGACAACATTTTGTCAACTCATGTTTTATTGTTAAAACCTAAAAAAATAAAAATAAAAAAATAACAGAAAAACTGCCATTTTTGATAAATCTACATTTATTCTGCAATGAAACCAATGAACCCAGTCAGCTAAATGTTTTTTTTCATGTGTGTGAAACCAACTCTCACTGCCTTAACAAGAATTAGATTTGTTTAAAAAAAAATTACATTTTTGTGAAAGTTAGCAACATTTTAAACTTAATTATTGTTAAACTTGACTTTTTTTTTTGCTGGCGTTCTTGATTAAAACCAAAGATGAGATGATTTTTAAATTGTGTTGGCCAAACTGAAAATAACAACCAATGAATTTACTGATGAATAACTTTCATGAATGTCAGTAAAAACGTCTGTATATAGTTTCCAAGTGCTAAAAAAGCAAACCTCTGTATCTGACCTCATGGTAAAACCGATTTGGTACAGGTTCAAAGTGTATTTCTATTTTATGGTTTTGTTGTTGTCAGGTTTGTATAGTTTTTTTCTTTTTTAATTTTTGAAACTACTTTTCATTTTTTAATATTAACACAGTCTTCTGGAACTCAAATAAGTCAGTTTCTTTATRTGATAGAATGAGTTTTTAGACTGTTAAGAAAATCACTGTCATGAAGATGTTTCACAGTTTTCATTGAGTTCAGTATTCTGATGGAAAACCTTTTTTTACTTCACATGTTGAACTGCATGTATAAATGTTTGCTTTTTATTGATAAAATGTTACCAATTTTCAATAACTTTGGCTTRCTTGTGTTGTGTTGATTTGAACCGACTATAAACCTTTATTATATACAGTATAATAATTTTTAATCTTTACTCAGTTTAATGCAATATAATGAAAAAAATCACTCATAAACCAATGTTCCTACAAAAAGCATTATTTAAACCATAACTACTTATTCCCTAAACCTAAATTTACATCAATACTTTTTTCTATTTAAAGAGAAATATAACAACCAGGACTGTTTAACAGATTAAAGTCTCCTCAACTTGAAAAAAAAGAAAACAAACCAAAACACTTAAATGCATTTTTTGCTCAACTTTTAAAACGGTGTAATTCATGCTTTTGTTCATAATACATCARACTGTAGAATAAAATCTGTATTTCTACATTCTGTTTTCCCAACAGTAACTGTTTAAGATATTTCTGCACCTAAAATATCATAAAGGATTAAATTCTACAAATACAACCACACTTAAAATGCTGAGTAGGTAATTACTTAGGTTTCATATTTTATTACTCCTTTTTCGTGTGCTAAAATAGAAACTAATAGTAAAACAATAAGAAACTTTTAAACTGTAAAGTGAAATAAAATGTGAAACTGAGTAATCAGTAAGAAACCGTTTCTGTTTTAATATTTGATCTTTACATTTCAGTTAATTAGTTTGTGGGGGAAAAGGGCACTCACTGCTAAAAATACTAAATTCCCAATTCACTAATCCCACATCCCTAAATTGTTTTACAGTTTATTTATCACCAAATACAGAAAATATATCAAGAGTTACTAGCCTCTTTAAAGTACCATAGGAGGACACGAATTTGTGCTACAAACTGAATTTAWTGAAATTTAAAATAAAGTCTCTAGCAGCCCTTTATTGCTTTTCCGATTAAATATGCAAAAATATGTGGACCTAATTGCAGYGTGTTAACATAGTACTCACTGAAATGCAAATGAATATTTTGACTAAAGCAAAGCAGAAAACAGCCCATAGAGCTAATCACTGGTAGTTTGAATATTCATGGTGAAAAAGCAAATCTGGGATTCAAAACATTATTCTCATCATGCCTCAGTGAGTCCAGAACGGTACAACCAACTCGTACCAGGCGTGCTACTGGAGGAGAAAAAGCAACACAATTTTAAATATTTGTCAAGCTAAAGAGTTTAGTACTCATTTTGTTTATACTTTTTACAATTTTAGTAATATTAGAAATGATTATGGTTTAATAGGAGAAATACAGTATATTACACTTTTGACTATGAAAACTATAAACAGCAATACTAATGGAGAAAAATACAGTAGATTTATACATATCTACTCTGTACGAACGTATTCCAAATAAATGACTGAAACATGTGGAAACATAAGTAAAATTAAAGTACGTTTCATCATCTTATAATGCCATAGATTTAAACTATTGTGTAATGCTGAGAAGGGGCGGAGTTAAAGCCTTTCTGTCCAAACCTTGTAAGTGAATTTATTAACAACAATTCTGAATTTCCAAATTTCAACACCAAATTTCCCTCTGGGATCAATAAAGYATTTTTGAACTGAATTGAATTGAATTATGTAATATTGTGAGATCAAATAAGAGTGGTGAGGATGACTCCTGAAAGTAAGACCATTGCTCATTAATTAATCTACTGTGTGTATGTTGATGTTCAGGCTCGAACTGCATCAAATTTTAAGAGATTTATCACTATTTGTCCAGATGCCTGCTAATGCTGCAAGCACACAGGCAACAAACCACTGTTTTGCCTTTTGGTGACGGGCAATAATAAGCTTCACAGAACCATTTTCCGTTTCCATTCACCCTTATTTGTGAATATTTGAATGCTCTGCGTTTGCATTCGAAGGTCTGCTCATACCCTTCTGGATATTTTCATAATGGCCTCGGATGGGACGGGACTGGTCGCCTCCTGCTCCTTCAACCTCTGAAAAGAGTTCCAGTGAAGGAAAACTTTACTGAAACTCAAGATGAGGACGGGCACGCTGATATTCCTGCTCCTAACAGGACTCTTCTCTTCATCTCTTTGCACCCTGTTTGGAGTAATTATTTATATATCTGACAAGGTAACATGGTCAGAGGCCAGAGATTACTGCAGACAGCATCACACCGATCTGACTTCCGTCAACAGCCAGCTGGAACTTGTAGAAATGCTCGTATCAGGAAACGGCACTGGCAATGCTTTCGAGACAGGCTGGATTGGGCTCTACAAAGATGTAAATGGTACCTGGAGGTGGTCAGGAGGGAAAGATGCTTTGTTTCCTCTTTCGGAAAAACTGCAGGAAACGGCTGCGGACCACAGCTGTGTGATACAAAATGAGAAAGACTTGCGAACTGCGAGCTGTGAGGACAAATTCCCCTTCTATTGCTTTCAGAGCAACCTCGTCCTGGTGGAAGAAAAGAAGGCCTGGGAGGCGGCGCAAGAGCACTGCCGCAGCCTGGACATGGAGCTGGTCAGCACGGTCTCGGAGTCTGCTCTGAATCAGGCCCTGCAGAGCAGCAGGAAGGCCCTGACCGCCCAGGTGTGGACCGGCCTGCGCTACCTGGGAGGCAGCTGGCTGTGGGCGGACGGGACGTGCGCGGGGTTCGAGGCCTGGTGCCAGAAGGGGATGCCGCAGTGCCCTGCAGCAAACCGCCACTGTGGGGCCCTCCCATCGGAGGGCCGACAGATGGAGAGCAGGGACTGCGCTGACCAACTCAACTTTGTTTGCTACTAAACTTTTACATCTTAAAACATAACTGAGCCCTGTCAGTTCTGGTCAGAAGATCCCAGCCTTCTGACAATATGTTAGCATTAGCTTAAAGGTGTAGTTTGTTGACATTTTAATATAACCATGTTTTTACGCATTTAGAGCCTCAGTATACTGTAAAATTAGTTTTTGTTTAGCTTTAGCCCAATGCGTGCTTTTGTTTTTTGTGCAAGTTTTTATTTTCCACTTTTTTGTAGCTACATCTGTAATAGGAATTTCAACTTTATTTGCATTTAGTGAATTTAAATTCAAAATAAATTCACAGGATGGTTGACTTGTGTTCTTTATTTTAAGAAGCAATAATGAAAAGTTTAATTTAGCTTGAACAGAGACTAATCCATTTAGAAAAACAAAGTCTTATATCAGGAGGTGATTCCTTACAAACCACCTAAACATTTAAAGTGTGAATTGAAAATGATAAGGCTCCCCTTATGGGTAGATGGCTTATAAAGGATTATAGTTTATTAATTCATCTGCAAACACTTTGTAAATCATTAATAAGTGTTTATTAGGCATTAATTAAGGACAAGACAGAGACTAAACTGTTTGGTTTCTTGCCAAATAGTGACCCAAATCTTTCCCTCTAAATAATACATCTAAAGGTGCTATATTAAATATTTCAGACTAGGTTTCTACCTTGTAAAAAATTATGTATTGGAAACATATTTTACATACAGTATAATATTGTATTATTGCATTATACATATCCACAACTATCAAAGGGAGCTTTATTGTAAAGTGCAAGACAGTACACTATTTATTAATGATTAATAAACCTGTATAAATGTCATAAGGGAGCCTAATAAATAAATACATAAATAAACCAGTCTGACATGTTTAAAATAGCAACTTAAGGTGTAATATGTGCACAAACAGATTTGGCTCAATAATTGGCAAGAAACCAAACAGTTTTGTCTCTTTCTCCTCCTTAATTAATGCATAATAAACACTTATTAATGATTCATAAAGTGTTTACACATGAATTAATAACCTATTTTTAAAAACTTTAGAAGCTGTTTATAAGGGAAGCCTTATTGTAAAGTGGTACCAGAAATTTGATTGTATTAAGACAGAATGTAAAATCAGTAATAGTCTAATCCAGAGGTGCCCAGAGTGCCACCCCCCCCCCCAAGCCATTTCATTTGGCCAGATTGTAATTATGTTAAGATTAAATATAAAATACAAGTAGCTACAAGAGACATTTAGATTAGATTTAAGCCCATATCTAGACGTGCACACCTTATAAGACCCCATATACAAATTTTAAATTATGAAAAGTCCCATGAGCCTTTGCTGCCTGAGCATACGTTGAATTTTCTCCATGTCCATGGGCTGAAAAAAAMAACAACAAAAGAATGTGGGCAACCACACTGGCTGTTAGCTTAATCATAAAAAAACAACTTTACTTAAGAAGTATTTGCATTCTTTCTTATATTACTGCATTTGGCCCGCGGCCCTCAGATTGGGCCTCATGCAAGAACATGTTCGTATTCTTATCCTAAATTTCTCTTACTTTTGCCACGTCAGATTCAACAAACTCTTCTATCTTCAGGAAAAGTGTGTAAATGAGCTGCGTAAATTCCACCTGTTCGTATCCAGCTGCTTCTGCACGCGAGAGGAGATTAGCATAATTACCACCCCAAAAACACCATATAAGGCTATGTTTCCTGCCTCAGATACAAGGAAGTGTCCATTCATGAAAATGACAGCGAAAACTAAAAAGAAAAACTTTGCGAGTTCAGAGACTGAAGTCCGTCTGTCAGAGATCCAGAAAAGAAAATCTGTTATTTTTAGCAGGTCAGCTGTGGAATAAAAAGAGCTGCTAAAAGTATAAACAACTGTGTTAAATCATTTTCATTTATTCAGAAGACACAGTGCTGCACACCGTACACCCCCACCCCCCACGTGCTGCGCGGTCGCAGGTGGTCTCAGATGAGGGTTTGAAATAAGCATTTTAAAATGTTTTCAAAATAAGTCTGGTACTTTGGAGAAAACCCAGGACTCACTGGAGGGATTATGTATCCCCTCTGGTCTGGAAATGTCTCGGAGTCCCCCAGGACGAGCTGGAAGGTGTCGCTGGGGAGAGCGGGGTCTCCTGCTGGCCCCGCACCCGATCCCGGATAAGCGGCGGAAAACGGACGGACAATTTATATTGTTAGTCTAAATTATTACATTTAAAATTATAACTCTAATTCAAGCAGAATAGCCTATTGTCAAGATAATTATGGAGTGTGATTTATTTTCAACTCAAAATATCTTCAAACTAACGAAATATAAAGTTMTTAGTGAAGAAAACCCGTCTGGATAACAGCAGACTGACTGCTCGTAAAATATACGACAGGTCTGGACCACTCGTAAATTTTGTTCGTATCTGAAAAAATTCTTAGAATACGAAAACATTGGTGAATGCCACAAATTCTCCTAAATCACTCGTACGCACAACTTAAGAACAAATCTGTGCGTACGAACGGTTCTTGCATGAGGCCCATTGATTWTAATTTTGGCCCGATCTCAGGGAAAATGTTTGGGCACCCCTGGTCTAACCCTAATGCCAGAGAGAGTCTTGGGACTAAAAAAGCAATGACCTATTGGCTCCTGATGGCCACGAGGATTCAGTCTCACAATATATGGATCCAAGGTCAGCTGTCACTGCGGGGTGCACAGGAGGGTAAGACTGGGTGTGTCTGGAGCCTGACGGGTTGTGTGCGTTTGTGTGTCGTTCACGCAGCCACACCAAATTAAGCACTCCAGTCGTACTCGGCTAAAGTGACCTTTTCCAAGCCCTCGTTGTTCGTCTGACAGCCTATACATGCCCTCTGTAATGGTTCACTTACCAGGCCTGCTGAGCCAGAAGCTAGCACCGTCCGTACGGCTGCTTTAAAAAGCTGAGTGGGAGCAGAGGTCAGCCTGGTGTTTGCTGCTGGAGTGTCAGCAACAAACAGTCCGCTACCTGCAAATATCCAAACAAAAACAGGGATGTCAGGGATTTTACACAAACAGCACATCCATTCCTTTCATACACATACTGATACATCTTCTACAATGTTTTTATGTTATTTAAGAACTCCCTTCTGTTTCTTTTTATAAATAAAAAGTAGTATTTCTTGAAAGAAGCAAGATTATATGCTGAGAATTGTAACTATTTTGGTCAAACCATGAAACTAACATAATATTTCAGAATGTGAAACTCAGACTATAAATTATAAATGACTTTCAGCTTCTACTATACCAAATATTATCTCTATTTTTTTTTTATTTGACTGTATTACAGCTGTGTTGACAAGCAGCAAGCACTCACAAACAAGTTTGATGGAAATAAATGGAAGAAATAAATATTTTGTTTCCAGCAAAGCATTATTTGTACTTTGTCTCCATCTACTGGGGCTGAGTTAGGCAACAGTCAGCTGGTAAACATGTTTTTCTCTCTTCCAACAGTCTAACGTAATTTTTAACTCATTGTGTGTTTAGGCATAAAAACGGGGGCGGGTTGTATTTGTACGGGTGGGGGTGACATTTTCTGCTCATTCAGTGCGACATGTTGTCTGTGAGGCTGACTCCATATATTTGYACTTACCTTAACAAGTTCGGAAGTTTGCACTGCTGGGAACCTCACAGACAAACCGGAAACAGTCGGAAATGCACAGGTATATATTTATGGGCGTAACAATAAAGGCCCTTTCGCGCATGCGCCCCAGAATCCARTCATTACGTCACTGCTTGTTCTGCTTGTTTGTATGTCGTAAAATATTGAAATGGCTTTAATGTTGAAGTTTTAAAAACTGATACTTAGAAAAATGTATATGTTACGTAAGCAAACGTAGCTATAAAGGGGCTGTGAAGATCAGGAAACATGTAGTTTGTGTTTTTAGGTGTTTGACACAGTTGACTGTTTAGTTGTAAAACCAAATCTGTTTTCCTGAGTCCCAGCCAGAGGGTCTTGTTTTTATTTTTCAATGTTGCAGTTCTGCCTCATCATTGTGTAAACATGTTGTTTTACTGCCACCTGCTGGAGGAAAACTGTCRTTGAAGTAAATATGATTGCGTCACAAGTGTAGGCTATATCTTTTCATGGTTTAAAATGGATTATGAAACTGTTTAAGAAGAACTGTAAAAAAATAATACTAATAATATTTTGTGGATATTTGTCTTAGGTTGTCAAAGTTGCAATCCAGAATGAGACCACTTCATTCCGCAAAATTTTTAGTTGACCATTTTGAGAGTTTTGACCTTTTTGGGGTCTAATTACATCAAAATGTTATTTATAAGCAGAGTTATAATCTTGATTATATTCAGCCTATGAATCTATCTGAAAATCGACTGTGGCTTTATTATAATTTTGTACAGAAGTAGTATGTAAGTGAAGGCATATACAAAATTTAAATCCTGCACTTGATATGCAAAATGTCTGCAGCCTTTAATGTCAGGTTTGCACAAAGATCAGTTGATGTTGAGAACTGATGAAGCTAGCCTTTTTGGTGAAACTTTGAAAATAATGTCCACTATTGTTAAATGTCAAGTTCAGAGTATATGATTAACTTTCAGCTACAACCACGTATCTTTTTTTGCATAATGTTGGTTATATTGRCTGACTTACAGCCACATCTGTCTGGACTAACTCTAATTAGCTGTGTCAGTCAGCTTAAATTGAATTAACTCCACATTAAATGATTAAAGTTTCATTAAAATCCAACAAGTAGTTCATGCAATACTTAACAAATAAAAAAGCTGAATTGTTTCAGAGAGTTAGTGATCAGGTTTTAAGCAAAAAATCTTGTGCAATGAGTAATTGAAATATGTTTATATTCTCAGCTGCAAGGACACTAATTTTTGCACAATATTTAGTAAAACTGACTGAATTGTAGAAATGTGTTGTTTGTACAATGAGTAAAGTGTCTTGGCTCTAAAAGCTAATTAGTTATAAATAAACATAACTGTTTTGAGGTTTCATTAAAATCAGTTCAGTACTTTTTTATATATATTTTTGCAAATGAACAGGTGAAATAGATTAAATAAACAAAGGCAAACAAAGGTTTGGTTGTTTTATTTTAGGTCAGGTGGCTGTGACAGCTTTCTTAAATTATATATATATATATATATAGGGAACTCGTTCATATGTCTCATTCATTGCTTAAAATCCATAAGTTAATCAGGTGCAGATGTTCGTCCAACAAATAATTTCTGCAAGTTTCATTAAAATCCGCTACTTGGGTCATGAGATATTTTGATAGCAGACACACACAATAAATAAACAGCTAAAGAAACAAATAAATAAATAAGAGAAGCAGCTCTGTCGTGGGTGATGTTACATCACTATTTGTACTCTATTTGTTTTCTTCTTCTTTTTTTTTATAGCCTACACCTAAAACAACATCAGTCTCGGCACGACATCTGGCCGTTGCGTCAGAGGGAGTTGGTTTACGGTAAAAGGACGCTCATTACCATAGAAATGAATACGTAGAAGACTAGTTGCTGGACCGCTGCTGTGACGAGGCTGTGCGTCCGCCATATTGGAGGTGGCACCACTGCGCTGTGTACTACTACGAATGAATGGACTTTGTTTCATAATGCACATTTTAACAGAGATTTACATTAATACGGCACCATCATTTATCCAAACACACACACACACATGCTCACGCACACACAATCAGAGAAAAACAGGTACCAAAAACAATGTATTAAAACTTCTTACAGGACTACAAAATACAACTTTATTGATCCCACACACAGTTAATTTATGTTTCATAAGCTGTAAAGGTAAAGTAGTGTAAAAATCAATTTATGTTACACTTTGTATTATTATATGAATTGTAATGAATGAATTTAGGAAACCTATACAGAATAAAAAAGCTAAACACACAGAAACAACAGTCTAACAAAACATTTGACTGAACTAATTTATTTATTCGTTTATCTTCTGAATAAGGGATACAGTTGT